TGTGTGTGTGTGTGTGTGTGTACCCGTGTGCCCGCGTGTGGGCGTGTGCGTGTGTGCGCGTGCGTGCGTGCGTTACTCTCGCCCCTACCCTGCGTATCAACTCCTCCTCGTAATCCGCGCGGTCTATGGACGACACGGAGTCGGACTTCGATCGGTGGAGCACGCCGAACTCAGGGTTGACCTTCTCGGCTTCGGCGGGGTCGTATCCCTCGCAGACCATGATGAACATGGCATCGCCGACGCTCCGCAGCGCTCGCACCGCCTCCTGGTGGCTCGCCCCCAGCAGGCTCTGTCCGTTCACCTACCATAGAGAAAGAGATGCCAAGGTATGAGAGAGAGGGAGAGAGAGAGAGAGAGAGGAGAGAGAGNCTAATGCAGCTGTGTGTGCGTGCATGTCGTGTGTGGTGTGTATGCGGTTGTGTGTGTGTGTGTGTGGTGTGTGTTGTGTGTGTGTCGGCGTGCGTCGCGTGCCGTGGCGTCGTGTGTGTGTGTTGTGTGCTGTGCGTGCAGTGTGTGCGTGTGTGTGGTGTTGTTGTATGCCGAGTGTGTGTGTGTATCGTGTGTGCTGTGTGTGTGTGTTGTGTGTGTGTGTTGTGTGTGTGTGCGTGCGGTGTGTACGTGTGTGTGTGTTGTGCGTCGTACCGGGCGCTTATGTGTGCGCGTGTGCATGTGTGCGGCAATACGTGCGTGCGTTACTCTCGTGCCCCTACCTCATGCGTATCAACTCCTCCTCGTAATCCGCGCGGTCTAATGGACGACACGGAGTCGATCGATCGGTGAGCACGCCGAACTCAGGGCTGACCTTCTCCGCTTCGGCGGGGTCGTATCCCTATCCTCGGCAGACGACACTGATCGAAGCATGGCGTCCGCCGACGCTTCCGCAGCGCTCGCCCCGCCTGCCTGGCTCGCCCCGGCAGCAGGCCCCCTGTCCGTTCACGCTACCATAGAGAGAGAGATGCCAAGGTATGCAGAGAGAGGAGAGAGAGACGAGAGAGAGAGAGAGAGAGAGAGAGAGAGAGGGACGGGAGGGAGGGAGGGAGCGAGGGAAGGGAGGGAGGAGGGAAGGGAGGAAGGGAGGGAGGGAGGCGAGGGAGGGAGGAGGGAGGGAGGGAGGGAGGAGGGAGGGAGGCCGAGGGAGAGAGGGGCAGAAAAGGAGAGGGAGGTGAAGGCAGGGAAGGAGGGGGGAGGGAGGGAGGGAGGGAGAGAGAGAGAGAGAGAGAGAGAGAGAGATGAGAGAGAGGAGAGAGAGAGAGAGAAGAGAGAGAGAGAGAGAGAGAGAGCAGAGAGAGAGAGAGAGAGAGAGAGAGGAGAGAGAGAGAGGAGAGAGAGAGAACGAGAGAGAGAGAGAGAGAGAGAGAGAGAGAGAGAGAGAGAGAGAGAGAGAGAGAGATGCCAAGGTATAAGAGAGAGGGAGAGATGCCAAGGTATGATAGAGAGAGAGAGATGCCAAGGTATAAGAGAGAGGGAGAGATGCCTAATATAAGAGAGAGGGAGAGATGCCAAGGTATAATTAGAGAGAGAGAGATGCCACGGTATAATAGAGAGAGAGAGATGCCACGGTATAATCAGAGAGAAGAGATGGTGCCACGGTATAAATAGAGACGAAGAAGAGTGCCACGGTATAATAGAGAGAGCAGATGCCAAGGTATGATACGAGAGACGAGATTGGCCAAGGTATAATAGAGTAGAATGCCAAGGTATGATAGGAGAGAGAGATGGCCACGGTATAATAGAGAGAGAGAGAATGGCCACGATAATAGCAGAGAGAGAGATGCCACGGTATACAAGAGAGAGAGAGAGATGCCAAGGTATAATAGAGAGAGAGATGCCAAGGTATGATAGAGAGAGATGCCAAGGTATGATAGAGAGAGAGAGATGCACGGTATAAGAGAGAGAGAGAGATGCCACCGGTTACTAATAGAGAGAGAGAGTATTCCACGGTATACAGAGAGATGAGAGAGATGCCACGGTATGATAGAGAGGGAGAGGCTGAAGGAGGGCGAGTGGTAGAGAGGAAGCGAAGAGGGAGAAGAGAAGAGAGAGACGAGACGAGAGAGAGAGAGAGAGAAGAGAGAGAGGAGAGAGAGAGAGAGAGAAGAGAGAGAGAGCGAGAGAGAGAAGAGACGAGAGAAGAGAGAAGAGAGAGAGAGAGAGAGAGCGAGCGAGAGAGAGAAGAAGAGAGAGAGAGAGAGAGAGAGAGAGAGAGACCGAGAGACGAGAGAGAAGAGAGAGAGAGAAGAGAGAGGAGAGAGAGAGGGAGAGAGAGAGAGAGAGAGGAGAGAGAGACGAGAGAGAGAGAGAGAGAGAGAGAGAGGACGAGAGAGAGAAGAGAGGAGAGAGAGAACGAGAGAGAGATACACTCCCTCCAGTGATGCGCATCGCCTAAGACCGCAGCTCCTGCGATCGCGGTGCCACGCGCTCCCACGGGGGAGGAGCGGAGGCAGGGAGGGGAGGAGAGAGAGAAGGAGAGAGAGAGAGAGAGAGAGAGAGATGAGAAGAGAGAGATAGGAGAGAGAGATGAGAGAGAGAGAGAGAGAGAGAGAGAGACGAGAAGAGAGAGCAGAGACGAGAGAGAGAGAGAGAAGAGAGAGATACACTCACGGCTCCAGTATGCGCATGCCTAGACGCCAGCCATGCGATCGGCGGTGCACCCGCCTCCTCGCCCAACGGCGGAGGGAGGGAGGAGGGAGGGAGGAAGAGAGAGAGAGAGAGAGAGAGACGAGAGATAGAGAGAGAGATACACTCACCTCTAGTAATGCGGCATGCCCTAGACGCAGCCCTGCGATCGGAGGTGCACCGCTCGCCACTCGGGGGCAGGAGGGAGGAGGGAGGGAGGAAGAGAGAGAGACGAGAGAGAGAGAGAGAGAAAGATAGCGGAGAGAGAGATAACTTCAGGCGCTGCCAGATATGCGCATGCCTAGACGCAGCCTGCGGTCGCGGGCACCCGCTCCACCACCGGGGGAGGGAGGAGGAGGGAGGCGAGGAAGAGAGATGAGAGAGAGAGAGAGAGAGAGAAGATAGAGAGAGAGATAACACCCACCTCCAGTATGCGGCATGCTAGACGCAGCCTGCGTCGCGGTGGGCACCGCGCTCCCCAACGGGCGAACGGGAAGGGAGGAGGGAGGGACGGAGGGAGCGGAGACGAGAGAGACGAGAGAAGATGAGAGAGATAGAGAGAGAGATACACTCACCTCTTAGTATCGGCGGCATGCCAGACGCAGCCTGCGGTCCGGCGGTGCACTCGCTCCCACAACGGGGAGGGAGGGAGGAGGGAGGGAGGAAGAGAGAGAGAGAGAGAGAGAGAGAGAGAGAGAGATACACTCACCTCCAGTATGCGCATGCCTAGACGCAGCCTGCGGTCGCGGTGCACCGCTCCCACGGGGTTGATGCGCGATACAAACACACCCTCGTCCGTGCGATCGAGCGGGTTGCCCGGGTGACTGTGCGCTCCTCCCTTTATGCTGATGCCTAGATTCTCCCCGGGAGCCTTCCGGATCTTCATCTCCTGCAGACCTTTGGGAGGGGGGTCGTGTTGTGCTTGCAGGGCGATGCTCTGGACAGGTGACACTAGCGCCATCACGGCGTCCTGGTGGGTGGCCTTCGTTAAATCTATCCCATTAACCTGTCACCGAGCAAACAAAGAAACTGTCACGCCGATGCAATTCGCTGACAGTCGTAATAAAAACCTCATATCGTATGTATCGTAGTTACATACACGATTTCGCTCAGTCGTAAGAAATGCCGCGTATCGGGCGTATATCGTGCTGAATGCAAAGAAACAGCTGCAAATGACGTGCGCCTGAAGAAATCAATGTAAAAACTTTCAATTTGAAAACGCGAAACGGGGAAAAAAGCCGTCCTCAGATGCGAATTTTTTTACGGATTCCATTTCACTTTTTTTTTTAACGTTACTAATGTTATAAGTATTGAGTCAATTATATGAGTACAAAAGTTATGACTTTTTTCAAATTAACTTTATGTATTTTATGAATACTAATGATGTGAAAATGTGAGTTATGAACCTATGTTGATATTTAGTATGAATACTGTCTATAATGTTGACGAAACACTTCCAGTAATAGAAAACATACGGTAATAAAGATATACACACGCACACGTACACACACGTACGTACACAAGCCACTACATCTGCTAGCGATAGAAGCTACGTTCACACGAGATTCACGGCCTCGCTGGTTCCGTACTTATCTGGTGCTGAATTCGGCTGAAATACCGTGCTAAGACAACCCGCAGCGTTCACACGAGAATCGAGGCTTAGCTGGCTAGGTATAATGGTAAATAATTTCTCCGTTAGAGGGAAGTGTTTTTCATGATGGCGGCGCCCATGAAAGTCAGTTGTTTGTGGCGGTTTTCCAGTAAAATTACACAAAATGATGATCCAGATGAACATTACGAATGCTTTGGTGATGAAGACGATTATCAAAAGGAAATTTGGAGAAATATTTTCAATGGCATGAGCCTTAAGTGAAAAACGACACTCCGCCGCCTAGTATCAATGTAGCGCACTACAGTTTCACGGCCTACAAGGCCTCGAATTGCGTTCTCATGACAGACAATACGCGGCCAGCGTGGTGCCGTACTTACGCAGCTGTTTCAGAGCGGAATCACTTTCCGCGCTGAACAAGCCTCGTATTTCAGTACGGTACTTGCGAGGCCGCGTATAAGTCTTGAATATTTTTACCGTGTGAACGCTCAGTACGGTACTGAAATCCTCGTGTGAACGCAGCTATACACATGCTGAATAATTTTAGTCGTGCAGTAAAATCTCACAGCATAATACTTACAGATAATATTCTATCTCCTATTCTTAGTTTAGTTTGCGAGGCAGATCCACCTGGAACTATCTGTAAGACAAGAAACCAGCATGTCACAGTGTCACAGTCCCATTTATATATA